CAGCTGTTTTAAAACAGTACCTTACTAAATTTGCGTCATTTTCTTGTAGTCATAAAACTTTCTCATGTAGCCTTCGATACTTATGTGTGTGCAATTCGAATGTCTAATAGCGCTGTGATTTTCCAGCTGTTTTAAAACAGTACCTTACTAAATTTGCGTCATTTTCTTGTAGTCATAAAACTTTCTCATGTAGCCTTCGATACTTATGTGTGTGCAATTCGAATGTCTAATAGCGCTGTGATTTTCCAGCTGTTTTAAAACAGTACCTTACTAAATTCGGTTACAATTCTCTGATAGTGGCCTATAGTAATGTGCTACCACTCTAAATAGAGTCAGAAGCACGTATTTATTAAGATTTGATGTGTATAATAATGTTGTACCACCCTGAACACAAATGTCAGATATGTCTATAAATTTACGCTACGGGTAGGAAAAAACGTTGTGTTTTAAGAAAGCTGTCGTGCTGCTGTCACCAACGCCTTTATTGAGCTGACGGAATTTACATAGAACAACATAAATTTTCCTTCTGGACACCACCCGAGCCCCTCTCCCACAAAGTCCGAAGAAAGTTTGTTCGCAGTGAGTGATTAGTTCGCAGAGAGTGGTTAGTTCGCAGTGAGGGATTCGTTTGCAATGAGCGATTAGTTTACAGAGAGTGATTCGTGAGTTCAATATGAACAAATCTTTCATATGACTCGGGAGTCACGAATCTTTCATATGACGAGATGAGATTGAATACAAAAAAATGAATGCTACAAATAATGCAGTTGTAGCCAAATATGTGGTACAATTATAATCAGATACGTTAGCTAACAGTTAACTAAGAGTTATTTCCTGGAGAGACAGGATATGTGTATGTTTTATCATCATTTTCTGAAGCATTTTTTAAAATTATTTCTTTCAGGGAGTGGCACCATTTTCTAGTAGTCAACATGAAAGGGAATGACGTGTCCAGTGGGTGCGTTATGTCCGACTAGGTGCTCTAGACCTCCCAAGGACTCAGGTGAGAGAATGTGTGTTTCCCACATGAACATGGATATTAAACAGACAGAAAAGTTCTGCAACAACGCAAGGAAAACTGCATGTCATCGTTCACCTGCCAACTGGGATAGTTGTTTTCTACAGACCTGTCTAAAGTCAGCCTGTGTGTTTTTGTCTCTTGGTGTCCCTCAGGTCTCCACAGGTACGTGTGGTTGGTTTATGAACAGTCAGGAAGCCTGTCCTGCACCAAGACGGTCCTCACCAATCGCTTCGGAGACGGTCGCGACAAGTTCAAGATCAAGATTTTCCTAAAGAAGTACAACCTGGGAACCCCAGTGGCTGGTACGTGCTACCAGCCAGAGTGGGACAATGTCCCCAAACTGTACGAGCAGCTGGCAGGAAAATAAATGTGCACTAAATTCTCAACAGTTCAACGCTCAGCACTAGGAATTTCTGATGTTAATTAGAAAATTCCCAATTATGTAGAACAACGTGTTAATGATTTTCTTTTTTTCCTCTGCTTTTTGCTTTGTTCTCCTAACAATGAGATTTTTTGTCACGCGTCACCTGAACTGCAATAAATCTGTTAAAACGCTGGTGCTAGTAGAAGTTTTCTGTTAATGTTTCACCTTGAAAACTTGTGGGTGTGAGATTTTTTGTACTCATATCAGAAACCTTTACCTTTTTATACTGTATGTCCTAAATTGTTTTTTTGTTTTTTTCGACAACTGAGATCAATTTTAAACTTACAAAGATGTGGTAAATGCATGCTTTTTACACAAAGTTTGTTTCACTAAATCAACTCCTGCTTAAAATACCAACTCAACACCTATCTCGATTTGTGATTGATCTCGATTAATCGTGACTAAAATAAAATAAAAAGTCACTCTTTCAACAGCCCTAATGACGACACATCTTTGGTTTGTGTGAGGAGCACTTTATTTGCAAATATAATTAAAAGCTCTGATAAGAGATCCATGCTTTCTTTTTAAACCTGGGGGGAAAAAAATTAAAGTGCATGCAATAATAAAGCGTTATACTGGTCTGGTTGTTAAGAAACTACACAGCTCAGAGTTGTGTAAAGCCCAGAAAAGATGCCAGAATATCCATTGACTGAATCTCAAGTATGATCTGAGGATGACGAGGGAAAGAAAGCGCCATTAAAATCACCTTTCTGTGACATTTTTAAAATACTATACGAAAATAAGTAAAAGCTTTCCATAAATCCTTCTTTACACAAAGTACACCCTATCCCGCTCCCTCTGTTCCCCCCAATGAAGCCCTTTGTGCTAGCTGGGAATTCACATGTATTACTATTGATTCACATTGGCTGCCAGTGCAGAGAAATCAGTACATGTCACTGGAGTGACCATAATACAGCACCCCGAACCCCCGCCTGTCCATCAAGTATCATCACATTTGTTACAAGTGTACTCTTGATATTTGTGATAGTTGCCTGTCAAAGTATCTTTTATTCAAATTGTCATTAAAAATGTCCTGATGTCCTGCAACACATCAAAATGTGCCATGAAGCAGTGCAGAAGAATTGATCCCTTTAAGAGATATCGCACCACTGAAGATCAAAAATTTTAAATCACCTCTTTAAACCTGGAAGGTTTGTGGAATTATTTTTGCTCGGTCCTCTGTCGGGGTTTTCTCTTTTCTTGTCTTTCAAATGTTGCACAAGAAACACAGAACACCGACTAATGTCATTACTCGTACAAACACGTGACAACCACAGGAAGTTGTCCGATGTATATTTTGTTATGTGACACCACAGGAGACAAGGTCAGCATCATGGGGTTGGGGGTGGGACAATATGAGGTGGGATTGTAGGCTCTGGAATCCGCTGTAGATCAGGGCGGGAACTACACACATCTGTGAGCTGCGTTCTCCCAGATAACGTCGGTGTTTGTTGTTGGTAGTTTTGACTCGGTGGTGGGTCAACACCCACGCCGCCAGGTCAGGTGACAGAGGAGGATGTTCTGAGCCGGACATCGCCCAGGGACCCGTAACGGAAATGAAAAAGACAGAGAGTGACGTTTGGCAGCCCCTTATCTGTTGCCGTCCTTTGGAAAGTCCAGGGTGCCCAGGTTACAAAAGCCCAGTCTGGTGCTCTCCATGTCGAAGTTGTCGATCTCCCGCTCCTGGCGCTCCAGAAGGTGTTTGATGCAGTCGGTTCGCTCCTTTTGAAGGGAAACCAGCTCCTCTTCAATCTGTAAGAAGCACAGGAACCCAAGATAAACGTGAAAAAGTGGAACTATTGTAAGGTTTAGTTTGTTTTACCAACACTCCAGGTCATTTGGTGGCGCACAACAGTGAGTAAGTGAGACTGACTTTGAAATGGGGCTGTCCGATAATAGCGGATATACCCGATAATAGCATATTATGTAATCTGTAAGAATCGAGAACGGTTTTTCCTCTGATAATGAAAACCCGATAACGCAATGCCTGGGTTTCACCAAATGATGTGTGCCCTAAAAATAGTTGTGGGGAAAAACGGCTGTATGTTAAAGCAAAGTCACTAGATGGCAGCATTGCAGCACATTTAATAAATCTTGTACTCATACAGTGGTTTGTACAGATAAATATTACCAGGCCTGTATCTGTATCGATTGATATTGGAATTGGAATTGTTTGACATGGTTGCCTGTTCTCTGCAGGAAGACATACCACTGTCATCACCACCTGTGGTCATGAATGTCTGTCTGGTTGCCTTTCAAGCCCACGTTGCCTGCTGAGGTGAAAACAAACGTATGTTACTTCTCATCAAGGCCTAAAAAAAAAGTTTGGTTTTTTTCCCCACACGTTACTGTGTCCAACTCTGTGGGAGGAAAAGGCTGGAGTTACATTATAGCACCACCATGTGAATTATTATTATTAATATTATTACTATTATATTATAATTTTAAACAATGGGGTATTTGTAAACTGGAACTGTTAACAACCAAAAAAATATTTTAGAGAATATATTTAGATAGTATTTAGATATACTGTGGATTAATCATGATTACTCATTATTAATCATTACTCATTGATTAATCATGATTGCTCATGATTATTACCATTTTGCCCATTCGCCCACGTTAAAATGCATCCAAAGTTTTAATCTTCACAAATTAATGCGATTAACATTAGCTAAGATAAACCGAATTCTGCAAAATTATGAGTAGTATAATAAAATATTATCAGCAGGTTTTTCACATCTTCACCGATTTAAACATGTCTTTTATGACAAACATTTTTTTGAGTTACAATTTCAATCATACGCTGTCATCACCACACCCGTACCTGTATGTGTGTGTGTGTGTGTGTCAGGTTCACAACAACTTCACATACAGGTGTAAACACACCTGGGAGGAATATTTAATCCCATCATGTTTTTCCCACCAGTAGATGTCGCTAAATCCAACAGTTTTACCACAGATCTCCCACAGAGCTGTGGTCTGAGGGACCACCTGAGACCCTTGTCCAACACACCTTTTGTTCCAGGTGAGCCCGCCACAGCGACACCTTCTGCTCCAGCTTCTGCTGCTCCCTCTCCTGCTGCATCTCTGTTTGCATCTTGATCTTGCTCTGGTAGGCGTTGAGCAGCTCCATCTCCTGCTGCAGCTGCTGCCTCAGGGCCTGGCACTCGGCTTCCTGGGCCTCGTCCAGACGCAGCTGACATGGGCGACCGCGGACCGTGGCAGGGGTGGAGGAGAGGCACAAAGAGGCAGGGGGGAAGGGGGGGCAGGAGAGAGGAGGGCAGGTAGGAGATAGAAGAACACAGGGAGACACAGGACAGACAAGGTGGGAAAAGAAGACGGGACAGAGGAGGGACAGACATGAGGAGACAACAAACAGGGGAATAAATAAAAAAAACACTTTAAGGTCTGTGTCATTGGTTGATTGAAACTCGTTATTCTCTAAATCACGTGTCAAACTGAACCAAATGTGGCCCGCCAAGTCATTTTGTGTGGCCCGTGGCAGCTTAAAAAAGAATTTCTTAACCTGATAAATCAAATGTTTTTTTAATATTATTTAATCATTTTAATAATATATAATATACATTTCTTAATATGTTATGGAGTAGTTACATCTACACAGTCTTCCATTTACATCTGGCCCTTCAAGGGGAACTGTATTGCTGATGTGCCTGCCCCCCCCCGTGAAAATGAGTTTGACACCCCTGATCTAAATGTTTTACAATAAAATATATTGTTTGATATGAGAAGTTAAACTTAAAATGTGTTTTTTACCCGAGTGCGGGATAATCGTTACTGTCATTTATAACCATCTATTGTGACTAAATTTAATTGAATATAACAATAATAAATCAATTCAGAAGAAAATTTACAACTGATCAGGTGGTGTGATGTCATATTCAGCTTATTACTGCATATATAAAGTAAATATATATATATATATATATACAGTACATAAATATCATGTGTTCACAAATAAAACCGGAGGCTTAAGTAACCTCCCATAACAGCTGCGCCGAACTTCGTCGCCAACAGCCGCGGCGGGTATGAGCCTACACCGCGAGAGCTGTAACAAGCATCACCATCTCCC